GGTCAGTTAGCTGCGGCAGCCATCTTGAATTAAATGAACACCCATTGATGATTTCCTGAATGTTTCATTAAAATTCATCCATCCATCCATCCATGTTTGTGGATTAACCAGACCCAGTTTCAGCTCAATATCTTTAATAAATTTGTCCAGTGGTTCATAAGATATTTTGTTAACACATAAAAACATGCAGACTCAGGCAAAAAATAAAAATAAAAAATTACTGTCCCACTTTTGATACATAATTTTAGTCATTTTCAAAAATATTTTTCAAGCATCTGTTTAGAGAACAAGCTGCATATTGTTTTCTTCATGCACATAAATTTAGAAACCAAATTATAGAAACAAGTGGCTGCAATGAAATCACAAGCTGAAGCACCGTCTATTTCCATCATAGCAGAAATGACAGGGATTTATTTGTATTTTTAACATGCAAATCCAGATGAAATGTGTACTGAAGGCAGCTAAACATAAATAAATCATTTTCTTCTTTCTTTTGTAAATCCATCAATAAAAAAGAACTGCAATAATCTGCTCAGACGTTTTATTGTGTTTATTTGAGATCATGCGTGCCTACAAATGGATGCTCATTAAGACGCTCCAGCACACACACCATCGTTACCGTTTGTGTGCAGCAGGCATGCCGATGTGAAGACGTCGAAGAGGGTTGAGTGCTTATGAGGTGATTTCCTCTCGTATCCTGTCTGGGCTGTCTGTGCTTGGTAAATCCTTATCTTAAAGCGCACGCCATGCCGCTCTGCACCAGCCAATCCTGCCTGCACCTGTTCTGCATTTGCTTCATTATTTTAATGAGCAAAGAAACCTCTGTACTGTGCATAAAAAAGGCAGATCCCTTGTTGATGTCAGTGGAATAAATGTGCAGAATGGCAAAATTAGTTAAACAGTCTGAGTTTTTACAAAACGGTGTTTTAGTGGTGTTTAAACCACATTTTGACAAGAGGTTTAACTTGGTTTCCCTTTAATAAAATGCCTATTTCATCATGACATCCATCAAAATTGGTCATATTCTCTCTTTCTCCTTACATGAAGAGTAACTGTGGTTAATGGGATCTGTTCTACTCGAGCCAAATACTCCATTAAAATCCATCTAGACAATCAGCAAATTATCAGCACCAGAGCTCAGTCTGCTTTATCCACACCACACTTCTTGATGTTCAAATAGCCTCCGATGCATTAATAATAAGGACGATGACAACAGCTTATCAGAAACTCATTAGTCTCTCTGGTCATGCTTTGGGCCATAGCGTGAGTCACTCCTTATCGTTTTCCCAGATTTCTTTTCGTGGCCTCAGACATCCAGAACTCTGAGGCAATGCAGATGGACCGCATCTTAATCACCTCCAACTGTTCTGGGACGGGTGGTCTGGTCGTGCTGGGCTCCGACTGACTGCTGGTGCTCTGTGGGGTGTCTTGGCTTGTTAGTAGAGGTGTAGCTGTTTCATCATCAGCAAAGTCACAGCTGTCACTTACTTACTTACTTACTTACTTACTTACTTACTTACTTACTTACTTACTTACTTACTTACTTACTTACTTACTGACTTACTTACTGACTTA